CATTCTTAGTTTTTATCTTTGGGCTGTAACAAAAGGAGGATTACTCATTCTGACCAACATGTAGACTGAAGCTTTTCTGAAGAGCTTAGATATGACAAATGAATGGCTAAGAGCTCCTGGTAACTGGTGCCATTTTGAGCCCCTTTGCTCCTCATCCTGTTAAAGCAAATTGCTCCTCTAAAGGTAAAGGAGGAAAAATTCCTTACTTGTCCATCAATGTATGTATTTTCTCCAGATCAATCATGCCTGGTCACCACAATCCATGTGACTTGATTAAATTTAGATTTTTCACAGTCTTTCTTTCCCCCAGCCAAGTAAGCTCAAACTCTACTGTCCTAACTGGACAACTGCAGCAATTTATCTCAGTTCTGCACATAAAGATCTATGCACCACTGTCACCTACCTCTTCTGGCTTCAGGAAAAGAGTCACACTGGTGATTTTCTGCACCAGTGCCACATGCATGTTTTTCAGGGATTTTCAGTGCAACATTAGCTCTATTAAAATAGACAAGATGTTTTCAGCCATCATGTACTTTCTGTTGATTTTATCCTTAATCCAGCTTCTGCTCTGCTCAGAATCTGCCTTCCTATGCACTGGGATGCACCAGCCCTACCTCTCACCTTCCGACCAACCATTGTCCAGGACCCTGGATTTACTGCTATTCCAGGACCCTCTCCTTATCTCACCTCTTTCCATAACCCCACAGTGGCAGTAGATCTTCCAGAGGATTAGAGACCTGTTCCTTCTTGAGGTGTGATTAGCAGAAGCCTCCTAAATGCTCCATTGTACTGCTTATACTATTGCTGCAGCTATCCCCTCCTACCTGCTCTTATTTAGCTGCCATATCCTCTCAGTGCATATGTTTTCCATAGCTGGACAAATTATTTCAAGAGCAAGCTCTCAGAGGCCTTGATATCTCACAGCATTTGTTGCCAAGACACCCCTAAAATAATCCCATTTGGTGAAATAAATTGATTTCCAGGTAAGGCTTGGCAGGCAAAAGTTTTCTGGTTCCTTGAGTCAAAATGACAATGTCTACAGTTTCCTTGTCCCAAACTGAAGGTATGCAAGCCTTCTAATGAGCCAGAATTTAATTCCAGTTCAACTCACAGATTTGCTTGTCCTTTAGCAAAATGGGATTTTATGATCAAGTTTCATATGAATTATTTCCAGTTTTCATGCAAAATGCATGAACTGGAAAGAAATAATAAAAATTATCTTCCAGCAATAATGGAAGGTAAGGTGTTCTGCAAATGGTGTTCCTACAGTTTTTTAGTCAGAAAATTCCTAAGACTGACCATTTTCCAATCATGTTTCTGTCTTTTATATATATATTTTTTCCTGTGAAAACAAAAAACATTTATACTGGAAAACTCCCACTCAGCTCTGCTTTCTATGTAGGTCAATAGTGATTCTGCATGGGGGCAGACCCTGACAGCACATCTTTTTCCTTCTCCCATGTTTTCAAATCAGCATTTTTTTTAACTGAAAAGATGTTTTATGACTTTTACTGCTGCTGCTCATTTTATATGCTGAAGTTGGCATCCTGGATTCGTCACCAGTGTTTTTCCATAAAGATGAGGATATTATCAGAGACCCATATCATGGGTAAGACAAATAAAATGACAGGAAGAGAGAAAAATCACAAATAAAAGAAAAAATATCCTGAAGTATGGTGACAATCACTGATGCAAGGGATGCAGAACTACTTCTAAATGACACAACCTTTTCCCAGTTTTCCATGTCACGTCACTGTGGGCCTTCTAATGACATGTTTAGGTATGTTAATTTCATGCCAGGGTTTGTCATTTAGCCACGCAGGGGGTAGTTTGAGTTCCTAGAATCAGAAGTGCCACTTACAGGCTTTCCTCTCTCTCTCTGTGCATCCCAGGTGGAGCTGGGTTGGGCAGGCAGTAACAGCTGGCCCTTCACTGCAGCGCTGCATCACGCTGCTTTGTCATTCGTGGGGTTTGTTTTTATTCTGGTGCACTCAGATAAAACCCTGCCTTTTGTCACAAGTTTCAGTTGATAACTGGGAGCTGTTCATCCCCTCCCAAGCACACGTGGCCTCTGGACACTGACAGAGTAAATCCCAGCCCCTTGGTGAGATCCTTAGTAGCTAGAATTAATTGCTAGAATTAGTTGCTAGAACTAGTAAAATTCTACGTGGTAAAACAAAAGAAGGAAAAGAGAATACAAGCAATGGCCTATTTGGTGTCAGACAATAAATTCCAGAGTCATCTGGACTGGTTTGAAGGAGCCACAGATGTCTTCCTTCAGAAAGAGTGTTACTGCTTTTCAGTTCTGCACCTATTAGCCTCTCCACAAAAACAAACCCATGACAGCACACTTGCACAAACATGAAGAAAGTAAGGCTGACTGCTCAGGCCAGAAAAAAAAAAGACTGAATACACAAATGGAACAAATTACCCCTCTTCTCCCACAGGTGATCTTTGTAGGTCAAGGCAGAAATGCATTAGCAATGCAAAATGGGATTTGGGAGTGAACAGGCACCGTCATCATCCCCTCCCTCATCTCTCTGAGGTAGCAAATGCAGCCTCAAGGGTTTCCAGTCCACAGGTTTTTCAGCAGGGAGTTAAATCACTTGAAGAATATTCCCGCCTACTATGAGTTAAACCTTGATAATTTTGAATCAGCCTCCCATTTTGCTTTTTGCCCACAAGCACACAAAAACCACAAAAAACCAAAAACCAAAAACAAAAAACAAACCCACAAAAAAAAAAAAAACAAACTGGGGGGAGAGGGTGGATCAGATGGGTCTGTAATCATCACATTGCAAACTTGAGTCAGTGGTCAGATTCCTCAGCAAAGAGGGGGAGTAAAGCACTCTGACTAGGATTGCTGGGGGCTGTCAGCTCGGGTCCACCTGAGCAGCAGGCAAAGTGGAGGCCACGGGGCAAGGCTACACATGACATTTGTACTTTCCATTAGGAAAAATGGTCAGTAATGGCCCAATTGTAAATTTAAGTAAGAAGCACCAAAGCTGTGAAGTGCAGCATGGGGCAGAGAGAACAGCAGCAAACAGGGGCTCTGAGCCTTGGTCACATTTCTCACCCTTTGTGGTGCACCAAGGGGGGCCAGTTTGCCTTCGTGCCATTGCCCTACACAGCCAAATATGTACTGGGACACACCTGGTCCAGAGTTACCCTAAAGAAACCAGAGCTGTGCTGGGAAGAGCAGATCAGACACTATCTCTGATCCAAGAGGCGATGCAGGTCTTTGCTGGGTTTCATGGGTTAAAAAAATTCAGCATTAATTTTTTGCTACCTGTCTCCAAGACAGGTTTTTTTTTTGCATCCCTTCTCTCCCAGAGAATTAGAAGCAGTTTCAGGGAAGGTCTGGAGCTCTTCTTCATGGTGCTGCGACGCGGCAGCTCCGAGCAGAGCGCACAGGAGAAGCGCTCTGTTGTGCTCAAGTGGTGATCTCTGGGCAATGCAAACTCACCACTGACACAGAGCAAGCTGTAAACAAGGGGACTGCAACCAGCCTGAAACGCAGCAGGAGTGGAAGCAATTATTTGTCTCTCTTCTTTCTCATCACAAGCCTAAATTTGCCCTAGTACAGTCTCTGTACACATCAAGGTCCAATATGAAATTGATCCCCTACATGGCAATGTTTCCTCTTTCTGGAGGAACAGAAAATCCCCATGAAAATTGTGCTGCATCTGCTGGACTTACCCATGCTGAACATTGTATTATAAAGTTAAGAGATGTCAATTTAATTAACTGTGACTTTATAGACTGATATGATGCTTACTGTTTCCCTCCCTCTTCTCATCAAAGGAGTTTTACTGTCATAGTAATCCCAAAGATGGAATAGATAAAATAAACCTTATTTTTCTTAATATCTCCATGGCACTGCCCCAAAAATAGTAGATCAGGCAGTCTGAAAAGAGAAAATTATTTTTGCTTCAAATCAATATTATTTGTCTCTTCTGTGTAGGTAGGAGTTGCCCAGTTTAAGAACCCTTTCTTACATACACTACCACAACTGACCATTTTACATTTCCAGTGACTAATCTACCATACTGGGACTTGTTGACTTCACTGCCAATTTCTTTTACCCCATTAGTACCTTTATTTTATTCAGTCCTGCACTTGTTTTGTATCCCAAACATGTACATATGTCCTTGCAAATCAGAGAGAGATTCAGTTTCCATTTTGCTATATCTTGTACTGTGCTGCCACTTAGATGCTTCCCCCACCCCAATTCTCAGTACATTTAATCTTGCTGAGAGCATATATGTCTGCTGACGTCAGACAGACATGACAGAGCATATACCTGTTTGTGTACCCCGTTCCCCACATGCCCACCTTGCCAGTTCTGGACATCCATCACCAGCGGCATCACCTTACCAAGAACAGCAGCCTCTGTGACAGCAGACACTGAAGTGGATGCCCACTGCCCCTCCACACCCCTCACTGCCTTCCCTTCTCTAGCTGCTCCTATGCCTTCTGTTTCTTCAAGTGACATTTGCCAAGGTCCTCACTTTTAAACTCTGGTTTTATACACAGCAGAGTTGATCTGTCCAGCAAAGTTCTTCCTTATCTTTATAGGATTTACTAATTCCTCAGAAAGCTGAAATTGCTTTCACAGCTTTACTCTATTCCTCAATTCTTCCTTTATTAGAAACTAGATTATCATACTTTCTTTTAAATATTTTTCCATCACTGTTTAAAAACTATAAAAAAAATTCCTATTGACTCTTAAAAAAACTATTGGTTTTGAAGTGCCCTTTCATATCATGAGAGGCAGAAACCAAACTGAGATCGATTACTCTACATGAACAATTTTATCTAAGCTAACATGAAAAGAGAGATAAAGTTATGCATTTCACCAATGCTGTAAGATGCTCGACTGAGACATTTTTTGCCATCAGAGGTAGCTGTCTATAAAATGTTTTGGGTACATATCTATATATAGTTTATGTTAAAACTACACAGTTTATGCATACATAGGAAAAAAACCTTGCACTTACCTTTGAGAAGTAACATTTATCCCAGGTTTGGTAAAATAGTCTCAGACAGGCACTTAGACCTTCTTTCTATTCCATGCATCCTTTTATTCAAAAGAAGATAGAATCAGAAAAATCCCAGTTGATCTCTAGCAAACCAAAATGTAGACGAGATTGTTTGTCAGATGCAGCCTGATTCAGTGAAGTCTGAGCGTGTCAATCCCTGAGACTCCTTGTTCAGTAATATCCAAAGCACAAAAAAAGGAAAGAGAAAAAACAGAAAAAAAGAGAATAAAAAAGAGTGAATAACTTGTTCTTTTTCAATGTGATTTAAAAAACCCAGTCTTGGAGGACTAAGCAGCCTGCAGGGTTTTTGAGCTTTCTGATCCTAGTGCATCCCAAGGTAACACATGCATTTCAGTGTTGCAAGTCTTCAAGTTCATACAAGCAAGCCCAGCTCCTCTGTGTGTGTGTGTGTGTGTTGGGGTGGGGGGCGAGCCGTACCGCGGGGGGAAGAGAGGCAGGGAGAGACAGAGACACACAGTCACACGCAGAGATGGAAGAAGGAAAAACAGCAAAGTGGAGTGATCTCACAAAGTGCTCTAGATGGCAGAGCCTGCACGGCTTGTAAGACAAGCAATGTGCACACACCAGGAAAAAAAAAAAAAAGGAAAAAAGAAAAAAAAAAAAGATAGAGAGTGAAAAACCCGAGAGAACTAGCAGGCAGCTTCAGGAATTTCTTCTTACCTCTTCTGACGATGCAACATGCAGCAAGTGCTTTGTACTGCATAGGAATCCGTGCAGGCACGACTCAGTCAGACCCCTCACCTCTGAAATAAACAAATATGTACCATAGGAAAGGGAAGAAAACTAGGAACCAGATGAAACACGGGTACAAAAAGAAGCTAATAAACAAGTAAGAGTGTCAGGGAGGACTCCTAAGTGAGCAGGAGGCAAATAGCTGGTACAGAAAGAGGCATCCAAACTCCTGGTCCTAACAGAGATTGGCGCTGTAATTATGTGGCAAAGCACTGCCCTCTAAGCCATTGCATAATAATAGAAACCTAAGCTGTGTAGACACAGCCTGACATGCTAAATCCTCAGGAGCTACACTCAACATTTGTCAGTAGAAAGCCTGTCAGTCCTCTGGGGGCGGAGGAAGAGGAGGGAAGACAGAAGAGGAGAGAAATTTTACTGCAAAATGCATAAGCTGCAGTTGAGCTCTCAGGTGGTGCTGATGCTTGAAATGTTATAGTGGAAGTCATATATATCTGTATCAATGTAAGAAAAGATAGATAAAACCATATGTGGTGCTTAGGGACACAGTTTAGTGGTGGATTTGGCAGCGCTGTGTTAACAGTTGGGTTTGATGATCTCAGAAGTATTTTCTGACCTAAAACATTCTATGATTCTAATAGCACTGTCAGCTTCATTCATTCTATTTAATACTGGAAACAATTTTACCTTGCTATGTTTTAGAAACATAAATAACAAAGAGGAGAAGACTTACAGGGGTTGCCCATGTTAAATAGCATTATTTCTAATGCTGATGGCAAGAAAGTAGTAGTTGTTCTCCCTTTGTACTGAACATTATTGCAATGTCTAAATAAAACTTGAACTGAGGTAAAAGAACTCATGTAGATTGATTAGCCTTTCCCATTAACCAGTGGGTTCCTCTCTCTAGCCCTCCTGACACAGAGACACTCATTTTCTTCTGCCTCTCTTTGTTGAAGAGGCTCCTAGACAGAGCCAGGAAAAAGATGAGCACTGGCTACAAAAGAGGAGGAAAAAAATCCATCTTGTTCAACTTACTACACACCAGTATCAATACATCAACAGAAAGAACTAATAATGCACATGGAAGGAATAGAAAACAAACAAACAAACACCAAAAAAACTCACAAACCAGGAAAGTGGTATCATTTTTGCAGTGGAAATTTACCTGAAAACTGTGGCCCTGGGTCACACCTATGGTCCATTTAGTCCAGTGTTCTGTCCCTGGACAGTGATCAGCACTACACACCTCTGAGGAATTTGAATGAGTTTTGCAGCCGGTGCTAGACAGTCAGGGCTAACCTGCTCAGGGGCAAAGCTTCTCCTTAATCCCTGTTCTTTAAAGATTAGTTAATGCACTGAGGCATGAGCAGTGAAACAGTCTGCTTCTGCACATCCAGACTAAACATGTAAGGTCTGATTCTGAGGTCCTCTGTATTTGGTGTCAAGTACACCTCTTTTAAGGCACTCAAGATCTAAAGAGTAAAATCTTCTGAAACTTTGCAAACATCCCAGTGTGAAAAAAAGGCCAAGAGTTCAGAAAGAGCTGTAGTATTTTATTCTGAAGGGTAAGAAATATATTTTTATAGTCTCATCTAGCTTAGTTACTCTCCTCATTTACTCCTTACTCCCGGTGGAAACATCAGATGTACTTCAAGAGGTTATCCAGTGCAAGTAGAAGAACCAGGTCACACAAATAATATGCAGGTATCAAATTTGGCCCCTAAAAAGTCAGCCAAGACTGAACTGAAAAGTTTGAAGATATTTTTGTGAATACTGCATAGAGGAATGCATGGGGTTTTCTCAGAGGGGCAGATTCTGCTGCAAACTTTAGATCCCTTACTGTTACCAGTGTCACTCCTTTGACCTGTGCCTGCTGCACTCCCAGTGACTCTCTATCCCCAAGGTGCAAGCTGCAGGCTCAGCACACACAGGATCCAGTCTGTGGTTAAACAGATGAGGAGGGGCTGCACAGACAGCAGTTGCCTGTTTTTCAGCCTATTCAGCTCTCCTTGGCTCTATGTGGCACAGTGCTGAAGGGCCCTTCTTGGGAGGAAGGCCAAGAGTTACCACAGTCAGTAATCCCACTGGGCACTGAAGCAAGCGGCCAGGCCAAAGGAAGACTTGAGAAGCTGAAAGGTGCCAAAGTGGGTGTTATATTAAGAAATTACTTCATTTATAGATGACTGAAACACAAATTTAGAAAGTTAACTTTAAACATAACTCCTGGGAACCCTGTGCCAGCATATAGGCTGGAAAATCGAATGAAAGCTTTAATCATGTCAGTGCCTTATAAAATAAATGTCAGTGCATCACAGACAAGAAGACATCTCTTAATGACATCAAGAATTAATAATAGACTCTGAGACTAGTGTTTCAGAGTCTGATTTGAAAGCAAAATATTGCTTGCAGTGACAGAAATCAGTGTACTCTGTCAATGCACTCCAAAAATCTTCCAAAAATCTTTTATCAGCTACAGTTTTGACAGTGAAAACTCCCAATGAAAAATAAAGATGATACAACCCCGGAAAAAAGTAAAATCACCAAAAAATAAATGTTTACATGAGGCTGTGGTGTTATGGGTCTCCAATGTGTGAGGCCAGGGTGCTTTCTGTGATGCCCTTTAGAATTTAATCAGAATTCCCTGGCATTTGCCCCTCAGCTTCTCCTCTTCACTAACCATCTCTGGTATTTATATATTGCTTTGCTCCCAAGTAAGGAGCTTCTCAGTGAATCAACAGTTTTCTTTCTTGGTCCTCCTAGCTGTTACCTCTTCCACTCATCTCTTTTGCTCAGGCCTCCCCTCTCTCCAGGCCTGCCCTAGCAACTAGTCAGCCCACAAGGATGTTTGAACTACATCTGCTGTTATTTCCACCTCCAGAGAAATCCCATCAAGCCCAAAGAGCCAAGTCTTTGGGCTTGATGGGAAGAAGTCTTATTCTGCCTGTGTTGTGATCATCTCACAGAATCACAGTGCTCACTCCTAGAAAGAACTGTCAAGGTTCAGTTTTCCATTTTTGACTTAGATCTAGAAAATACATGGGAGAGCAGGATTACAGATGTCTAACTTTTGCTCCTTGAATCTTGCTGAGCAGCTAAAGCTTTCAGTGATGCAGGAAATCCTGTGCCCCAACAGAATGCATAATCTCTCTATGAAAAGAGACTCATAAAACTCATTAAATCCTTAAAATCACATTTATACAAGTTTCTTTGAACAGTGTCAATTACTGAAAAGACCTAGCTTGACAGAGAAATTTCGCAATGGAAACCCTCTCCTTTGACGTACAGTGCCAGATATAACATCAAAACCTAAGAAAACTGAACTAGGATAGCAGAGCAAGACAAAAATAAAATTGAGATGTTTTTGAGACTTCCAGGACAATTTCACCTGCTGCAAACACCACTCTCCTTTCCAAGTCTAGCAGAAAAAACACTGAAGCCTTTGGCCATCTGATTGACAATACAATTTAGCATGTGCTTGTAGACATTGGTGATTCCCATTTCCTGCCCACTCCCTTCCGAACCGAAGCTGTCAGCAGTGGTCCACATGACCATTTCATCAGTGGCTGCCAATCAATTACACTGATTGAAAGACAGTCTAAAAATCCTTTAGTCTGTGGCCCTACTGACAAAAACAAACGTCAGGAGCTGAACCCACCAGCTTTCAAACATTGGAGGTTTGGGGAAAGATTGTATATTTCTTGGGTCTTGTACAGCTCAGCTCTTTACAAATCATTGAATATCTGTTTACACATGTATATGCCAGTACAAAATCTCCTTCTCACATCCTCCACCCACACATCCCTCTGCTTTTAAAAGCAGCTCCAGCCAACAGACAAACTAAGTGTGCTTTCTTTCAGTTTCTTACATCTTAGCATGGGGAACACTTAATCCAAATTTCTAGACCCAGACACCCAACAGAGAACAGGTGCTATTTTACAGTGCAGGGCAAGAAAAAGGGGGTTTGAGGGTGTTGATGAGACAAAAGCATTACAGAAGGTCCCTTTTGCAATATACTGTTATAAAAAGCATAGACTAATATCACAACAAAATATGAGCATGAACTTCATTAAAATACTTCAACTCTTCAGCAATCTTTCATTGTCCATCATGCAGCTAAATGCAGAGGGGTTTCCAAATACCAAGAAAAAGTTATTTCAGGTCAAAGAATAAATTATATATTCATAATCTACTCCATTCTAAGAATTCATCTCATCTGAAATAACCAGGATACTTGTGCCAACCTTAAAAGGACCCACTGTAACTTTGTAGATGATCTGAAAGAAGGTCAGTATAATATTTTTATCCCAGGGTTATTATTCTTTCCAGGTTCTCCCTTTACAAGCAGGAAAATCCTTGTACTTCTGTTTTGCATAATCACATGTCCAGCTCAGTAAGTAAAATTTAATGCCCTTTGATTGATAGGTTAAGACCAGAAGGGATCATTATGGCCATCTCATTTGACCTTCTGCATAACCTCAGTTACAGAAATCCTCTCTGTGGCTGCTGCATCTATCATCATAATATTGGGTGTTGCAAAAATATATATTTTATAAAGGCAGTCAATGATTAAACCTTGATTTAATGATGGCGCATTCACTCCCTAATCTCTTTATATCTTTAACTGCTGCTATTTAAGAATAAAAAAATACCACACCTCATTTTGTTACTC